CAGACACACACATACGCATAATTAAAAAACAAAATTATTGAAAAGATGACTCATTCTCCACATGTAGTGTTTCTGATCCCATTAGCCTTGCGGTTGTAAGAAAGATTTGATGTCAGGTAAAGGTTCAGAGCCTTGACGTGTATAAGCATGAGCAACCTGCTTGTCACTTTTCCTCATCCCTAAAAGCCTACGTTCAGAGGCTGGAGAGACGACTCAGTGGCTGGAAGCACCTCTTGCCGAAGACCTCAGTTTTGTTCCCAGCACCTACCCTGATTGCCCCACAGCTGCCTGCTACTCCAGCTCTAGGGCACCTGGTGCCCTCTTCTGGCCTCCATGGATACACATACACAAATAGAAGGAATTGTTTTTAAAAACCTACCTACTTTCAAGGTCATTGTTACCATAACACATTGGGTATTAATAGCCATCTCTTCAAACAACTATCAGTTGTGGATGATCTTCATTTAATACATAAGGAAACTAAAGTATGGAAACTGAAATAATTTAAGTTCACAATGAGAGGTGGAGCCAGGAAAAGAGGTTACATTACAATCTCCAAATAATTTCTTACAAAGGAAACTGCCATGGTTATTTCAATTTATGCTATTTCCTCCTGAAATTGTCCCCATCATCAAACTGTCCCCACCCACCTCCTGTGACCACCCTCCTGTAGCAAGCCATAGTCATCTGTGCAGTTTCACTGTGGCCTTCATTATGTTCTACTTCCGTTATCTGGGGCATGTCTGTTCCTGAAGGAACTCTGTCACCTTGGTATTTTTGTTGTCTCTACAAATGCCAGCGCATTGTAGGTATACTCAGTTATACCTAATGAATGATCAGACAGGGTAACACGGTACTGTTGTCTTCACATTATCATGCTGTTTGCCGGATTCTGCACAGTCCTGGGGACTGTTGCAGGGTGAGATTTTAGTGACTCTCCTGATCTGTGATCTCTTCTGTTTCCTCCATAGCACAAGGTTCTAGAGATGAGTTGTCTTCTTTCAGGGGGCTGGAAAATCCCTCTTCAGAGTCTATCAGGATGTCTACTTAGTAAGCTTTGCAATAGAAAGAAGCCACAGTGTGGCTTGGAAGACTAATGCTGGGCTTCTTAATTTGGAGTTGGCTCTAAATCAGCATGCTGTCTCCAAGGAAACTGTGTAGCCTGAGGAAACAGCTGTAGATGAAGCCTCTGAAGGTTAGCCAGCCCCCTGTGGTTTGGCAGAAGGAGAGGTCATTGTCCCAATCAGGAAGTGGTCTTGTGGTCCCACTGACCCTAGTCTTTTCCAGACAGAGCTGGGGCTCATACCAGCTCAACCAGAGATTTCCCAGAGACTCACAAACAATTCTGTTTCTCAAGAGTGCTATAGATCCCTCCCCCAGGAAGGCTTCTGCTCCCAACTCCACAATCTCAGTATTGTGTGTAGAGAACTAAAAGATTGATTGGAATGTGGATGATGACCCAGTAAGTACAGCTTTTCATCATTCACCCTGAAGAGGGGTGGCCCAAAAAGTCCTGTCAGGGCTTGGGTGGGCTCAGATGCCAAAGCTCAAGAGAAAGATAGGGCCATCAAAGAGGAGGTAGAGCTTTGCTATGCTCAGGGAGAGCTGGCACAGACAAGGGTTGTTATCTGTATACAGAAAAGTCATAGGCAACTTAAGAGAGATTCTAGGAGTTAACTTGACACAACTTAATAGATGATCTCAGCTTGGACTCAGAGACTTGGGGCAGAAGATATCTATCCTACAAGTTTATAGAGACGGGAAAGCTGAAGGACATTCTAGCTTCCTTGGAGATGCCACAAATTTCTCAGTATCCTTAGGAACTATAACTTAAAATGGCTTCCTGGAGGAAAAAAATTGAAACTATAATTCAAGTCTCACTTAGCCTGAAGAGCTTTGAGATTCAGGATAAAAGTCACCAGTCCTGCAGGTGATATATGACGGGTGGGAAGTCTAATGACTTTCTTTTTATATTTTTATCTATTATGTATACAGCGTTCTGTATGCATGTATCCCTACAGGCCAGAAGAGGGCACAAGATCTCATTACAGATGGTTGTGAGCCATCATGTGGTTGCTGGGAATTGAACTCAGGACCTCTGGAAGATCAGCCAGTGTTCTTAGCTGCTGAGCCATCTCTCCAGCCCGTCTAATGACTTTGTGAGAAATGAACTAGAGATCCTTAAGCGTGGGGCCTAAAATTTCTCTCATCCAACATTTCCTGGGCAAGCTCACCCTCACTATGGCCTCACTTCCCACCCACGTACCGATCAACGCGCATTTGTACGTTTCTTTTCCAGTCCCATCCTTTTACCCAACCCTGCACTCGTGGATCCAGGTGCCCACTTATCTTGTCTTGAATGTATCAAAACCACTCACACTCAATCTAAAGCAAATGTATTACAATCTTCAGCCCAAACCCTGCTACCATCCTACAGGATAAGATAGAAACACCGCTGGTATCTTTGTCCCCTTCCTAACTCACCCATTAGAAAGGTTTCTAAGTTAAGCTCTGAAGTCTTTCTCTACCCATCACTTCTACTCTGGCTCCTATCTCTTACTTAAGTGAATGCAATCACCTAGTTTCCCAGCATTGGATCCCTTCCAATCAGTATGCCACAAGGGGTTTCAGTTATGTCTTCCCTAGCTTATCCCTACTTGTTATTCAGATCCCAGCTCCAATGTCGCTTCCTCAAGGGACAATCCCTGGTGATGTCTCTGAATAAGCTTTGTGGCACTAGTCATAGTTGCAAATTGACATTTGGGCTCCACTACACTGAGCTCTAAGACAGAATCGACTTTTTCTTTCTGTCTTTCTCCCCACCACCTTTTTGGCCAATCCTGTGTTTGTGTTTTACACTTGTTAAATACCAGTAAGTAATATTTATGGAACAAATTAATGTTAGTTTCTTTACACTCTGCTCCAGCATATGGAACCACCATTATCACTTTCATACATTATTATTATTTGTCTGTCTAGAGCCTGCCTTCTCCAGTATATGCTCTGAACTGCAGCCAGAATTACCTTTTAAACAAGTGCAACTGATAAACCAGCCTTCCTCCATCTTAGGCTGGGAAATAATTTTATAGTTAAAGACAAATTCCTGTTTATGATGAAACCTGTTTTTCAAAAATTGGGCTATGCCATCCCTATAACCTTAACTAAAAATGGTTCTATCTATACTGTCTGTTCCAGGAAACAGCAATCATGTCTTTGTTTCAACAACTTACTAATAATTTTGCAACCCTACCTTTGTTTCAAAAAGTTGCAATGATTACCTGTTGTTATGACCGCCTTGTTATATTCTGCTTCCATAACCCCACCTGTTTGCCTGCCAACTCCCCCATTTGGAAACCCCCTACCCCTGAGCTATAAAAACCTTATCTTCCCATGCCCAATGCTGATCTCTGGAACCTTGTCTCTAGCAGCAGACCACATGTGAACATAACTAAAAAGGCTTGCTTTAGTTTGGCCGTGATTTGGGTCAGTGATCTTTGTCCTAACATTCGGCATTAGTACCACTTCTAACCCTTCAGTATTCCCAGTAAAGTCCAGACTCTTTAATGGGCCCTTTTACCATGTCAGCTGTTAATGGCCACTATCCTCTGGCTCCTCAGTAGCAAAACCCTGATGGGTTAAGACAATAGAGTCCCCAATAAAAAGGGATATCCCACCCTCACTCTAGATGTTTCTCAGAGATGTCAGGTAGTACTGGAATCTGATGCACTGGCAATTCAGAGATTTGAAAGGGTTATCACCTTTCCAAAAGGTGGAACTCCCTCTTCTAGAAAAATGCTGTGTCAATGTGTTTATAAAATGTTATAATGATGTTTTCTGTTGTAGAATTCCAGACAATGAAACAGAAGCGGGTACCACTTCTTTTGTTTTTTTGTTTGTTTGTTTGTTTGTTTTGGTTTTATGAGACGGATTCTCTGTATTGTTTTGGAGGCTGTCGGTCCAGCCCGGCCTCGAACTAACAGAGATCCGCCTGCCTCTGCCTCCCGAGTGCTGGGATTAAAGGCGTGCACCACCACCACCCGGCGGGTACCACTTCTACAGTTCCCGCATGAGAATAGACCCCAGGCTGCACCCTCTTTGCCCAGTCCCCATCTCTTCTCCTTCCCTGCATTTTCAAAGCCATGCTGGCAAATGCTTTGTCAACCATCCTAAACATGAGGTGTAGGCAAGAACCCTTGTCACAAGCCTTGGATGGCTAAGGAAAACAACCCAAAAAGCAGTGTGGTGCTCAGTTACCATGGCTGGCGCTTCCCCTGAGCCCTGTATTTTGGACTTCTTTAGTACGAGGAAATACATTTGTATCTTAAGTCATGATCTTTTACTAGCTGTCAAACTGAAACCTAATATAGCATTTCACAATCTGACCTTTATCAAGTCTACCTCTCCCTAACCAAATGCTTTTTAGCTTCTTTAGGCTAGTCTCTTAGTCTCTTCTTTTTCTTTAATTTTTTTTTTGAAACAGGGTCTCATGAAACCCAGGCTGGCCTCAAATATGCTATGAAACCAAAGCTGTCCTTGAATCCCTGATCCTCCTGCCTCCACTTCTCAAGTGTGGAGATTACACACGTGAGCCCCCACATCCAGCTTGGCTTTTCCACTTAGTGTTTACAAGCTGCAGCTTCTCCCTGGGTAAGATCCCTTTCCTTCTGCCCAGCTTGGCTACTCCTATTTGTCCTTCAGCTTTCTGCTTAAGAAATTATTTCTTCATTTTTGTTTCCTGATACTACAGGAGAACTTGATCATGCTACTTACTGTACTGTGAATTGCATTTACCTGATTTTCTCCACCACAGACAGTAAACTCTGTGAAAACAGCAAAGCACTTCACCTTACTCAGAACTCTATTCCAAATGCCTTGCAGAGACATTCAAGTCCTAAGTACTTCTTGACTAAATGGAGTAAAAGAATGATGGGAATATGGCACTGGTTAGTTAAGGACAGTGGGTTGGTATCTTTGCAATGTGAAGAATGAGGTGAAATGAGTGGTATATTATAGTTTATTATTTATACTATGTCCTGTTCCAAAAAGGACTTAAAGAGGCAGGATTACAGCAGTACAACCTCACAGAGTGCCAAGTGGAACTCCTCAGAACTTCCCCTCAGACACTGACTTAGGAGACTCTGGCAGAAGACTAGAGGGTCATTTGGGGGCAGGAAGGGTACTAAGAAAGCAATGGCATCTTGTCCTACCTCATCTTCCAGTTTCTTATTTGGAAGTCCTACCTCAGAAAGACACTGGTGGGAAGGCTGCAGCGGGAGAAAGTTAGCAGAAAGCGGGGAAGACTAGTTCTCAGGTACACCATCCCCCATCCTTTCTCACTTTGGTGCTGATGGCAAGTAAAGTGTCAGGTCTTCGCCAGAGTGCTCTGCTGGGCCTGGAGTCTCCTCTCTAAGGAGAACAGGCAGATCGGTCAGTCTTCAAGAGGCCCAGTGCTAGCTGCAGTGTCCAGGCTCTGCCCCTCCATCATCCCCATCCTCCTCATCAGACTGTGCCAAGGGCGTGTCTGCTCCCCCATCACTTGGGTTTGGACTGCGCAGGTTGGACGAGTCAGAGGACAAGGAAGAAGTTCGGGATGAGGTCCTGTCTGGCGTGGGTACCGGCAGGCTCAGTTCCTCTGGATGGTTATCCACTCCTACCCATAGAGAAGAGCTTGTCAGGGACACACACAGGGCTTTAGAGAACTCAAGAGATGTATCTAGTCAGGGAAACTGAAGTACAGAGAAGGATGGGCACCTGTCCAAAATCACTTCCTCAGTCAGTAAGGAGCCAGGATTAGGATCTCCAGCCCCTTCCATATCACTATGCCATCTTATGTGCTGGAGACAATCCAAGAGCTCAGGATCTCCCTCACATCTTCCTGAACAGCTGTAGGCAAGTCATTTTCCCTATCAAGGAAGGATACCTACATTTCTAACTTTAGGGTAAAATCTTAAAGTGTATCAAATGTCTGAGGCCATCGGGAAATAATAGCAATTTGTTTTTTTGCAGAGTCTTGCTTTGTAGCTGGCTTCAAAATCAGGATCATACTGCCTCTGTTTCTTGAGGCATGTGATTAGAAGGATCAAGTAATGTCAGTAGCAGTTTTAACTAAGGGTATGCATCTTACATGTTAAGCATCCAGAGTTTGGAACCAGGTACAGGGTTTGAATACCAGCTTTTCCACTTCCTGCCTATGTGACTGAACTTCTTTGAACCTAATTTTCTTTTCTTTTTTTGAGTGCTAGAATTAAACTCAGGGTCTCATAGCTGCCCAGGCAAGCATATTGTATATACCGTGCTTCTGAACTCAATCCCTAGCCTCTAACTTTGAGACAGGGTTTCTCTATGTAGCCTTAGCTGTCCTGGAACTCACTCTGTTGACCAGACTGGCCTCAAACTCAGAGATCCACCTGTCCAAAGGCGATTGCCACCACTGCTGGGCTTCTAACTTCCTTCTTTATGAAACGAAAAGTCTATTCCTTGTCCTCATAGGACATTATAAGGATTGAGAGAAAATATGTAAAGTACTTTACTACAACATTAAGAACCCAGTAAATCTTTTGGTAAAAGTTAATACTATGAGTAAATTTTAGGTTGTCTAACATGACCATTATGTTTTACATTATTTTAATTATGGTAATTACATGAATTTCACACATATAAAAATTTAAAATCTAAAGTAGTTAGCCATCCCTGGACCAGTTGCCCTTTGAGAGTCAACTTCTCTAAATCAGAGCTGTTTCTCTAGCAGAGATACACTTCCAGCTTCTACTCAAGATTCTTCCCTAGCTCAGACTTGTAACCTCATTTCTGGGCCTAAACATCCAGCGCTAGCCAAATGGTACCCAGGTCCGCCAAGCAGAAAGGCATACCAGACATCTGGGGAGTTGGCAGAGAGTCCTCGCACGGCAAGAACACATCTGCTCCATCCTGATCGGCGAGGTCAATAAGCTCCACCTGCTCCAGTGTGTCCACGTTCACCTCCATGGACGAGATGCTACCTATGGGGGCTGCAGATGAGGGCGGACATGGGGCAGGCAGACTTGCCTGTAAGATCCCCATCCAGGGTTTACTGGGCCACAAAGACAAGATTTGAGAGCCATCTGAGGACATCTTCCCCAACCCACCCGAATTCTAGTCCTCAGGACTGGAAACTCACGTCTTTGAGACTCCAGATGCAGATGAGATAGGGGGAAAACAAACTCAGTCTCTGGCTGTAAAATGTCCTCGAAGAATTTCTGCCGCTCCCTGAGACGCAGCTGCTGGCGCTCCAGGGCTGCTCGTGGGTTTGGGTCCATGTCAGCCCCTGGCAGGTAAAGGAGTAAAACAAAGACAGTTGAGGGGATGAGAGAGGAAGAAGTGGGGGCCTAGGCTTAAGAAGCCCCGTGGCTGCCAGCATCCCGCTTCCAATCTGACAGCTCTGGCCTAGGCAGCCTCTTTCCCTTCTGTGAAACAAAACTCAACAGTTCCCACACATTTCAAGGCTCATATAGAGGAAGGACTGGCCCTGGTTCCACAAAGGGGATGTCAGTTCCAGGCACCGCAAGAGCTCAACAAGGCTGCCAATGGCTGCCTAACTGCCTACAATGCCCTTCTGAGAGGTTGGGAGGGCCTGGCCATTTCATGGACCCAGCTCCCCTCAGAGGGCAGGGAAGTGGCTGAAATGGTAAGGTACAGGGCGGCAGCTCTGGTTCTCCCCACACTTCAAACCCCAAGGAAAGACTACAGCAACTTTCCTCCCCCACACTTCTCTTTTCTCCACACACACCGTTGCCATGATCCCCATCACCTCCGAATCCTTTCTCTGAAGTCAAAGACCTAACTTCCTGACTTGCCTCTGCACCTAAGAAAACCATCTTTCTGGCCCCAGGTCCCCACCGAAGGCACTGTCTACCTGAAGCACTACATGGCATTCTTTGTGGAAGAGAGCTGTTTCGAAACCTGACCACCTTTCCTCTCAACTCTAGAGCTGTCCCCCTCCTCTCCCACGCCTTACTTGCCCTGCTAGCAAGTACCGACCAGAAGAGTGGGGCCTGGGCACAGTTCAGACTAGGCCTCTGATTCCCAGTGCTGAAATCTGCAGAACACCAGCGCTCTGGGGCCAGCCCTATGCGTGCGTTCATTCTCATTCCTGGTACACTGCTCCGAACCCATCACCAGGAGCAGGGGAATTTCTAGGGTGAGGACCAAATTGTCATCCTCCAAAAACCTCATCTGGACAGTGTATCCCAGTTCTTGGCCAGATTTTCAAGCACTAGGGTAAGCTCACGAGGAACCCAAAACTAATGAGCCAGGCAGGGTCAAGGAAGTGCCGGGAGCTGCCGGCTGCCGGCTGGCCTCAGAGAAGGGAGACGCTGACGCGGACTCCCGAGAAAGACTCTTAGAGCTGCCGCCCAGGTCACAACGCTAAAAATACCCAGGGCCCCAGGGGCGGTCTGCGGAGTTGTGGGGAGGGGAGGCGAGCTGCCACTAACCGGGGCCACCCGGACGCCTCTCTCCTCTCCCCTCCCCCTGACGCTGTGGTCTTACCAGGTTGAAGAGATTGCCCACCAGGGGCTGCGGAGCTGAGACCTGGAGCTAAGCAGTTGTTTACGCGATCATAGGTACTGGGAAGAGTGGAGATTAGGACACAGGCTACTGAAACCCAGGCAGGAGCCAGGAAAATGGAGAACGCCTTCTGCCCCGGCCCCACCCGCACCGGAGGAGGCAAGAGGCAAAGAATTCCCTAAAAGGGGACCAGCGCGTGGGCGAAGACGGGGCGGGCAGGCGGGGGAGGATGCCCCGCTTTCCCGTGCTGCGTGGCCCGGGTCCACCGCACCTGAGCCTAACCCGCGCACCCCCTACCTGCAGCGCCCGCGCCCCGCTGGCTCACTGGAAGCGCTCCCGACGAGCGGCGGCGGGGGCGTGGGAGCGAGCAGCGCCGGTCGGGTGGGGCTATGCCTGCGGGGCTCCCTGGGGACCGGCGGCCCTGGGAGCCGGGAACGAGGAAGAGGCGGGAGGCGGAAGTGGGGGCGGGGCGGGCACTCGGGCCCGACGGCGGGGAGCAGCCCCTCGGAGCGCCGCGACCCGGACTTGCGGGGCGGGCGAAAAGTTCCCGCACGCATCCCTCCTTGCTCCGGCGGCCGCGAGCGCCGCGCGGGGCTGCGCGCGCCCCGAAGCACTTGCGGCACCCCCGCCCAGCACACAGCGGCGGCGGGCACACGCGCCGGCTTCGGCCCACGCACACTTGATGCGCTCCCGACTTGCGAGCAGCGCCCACGCAACGACCACGCGCACGCACCCGTTGCCCGCGTCTCCGCACCTCGAACACCCTGGCCACGCTTACGTGCATACTTCTTCAGGAGGTGCGGGAAGGGGGAAGTGAGGGTCGGTTGCAGCCCAATGAGACAGGTGCATTGCGGCTGATGACCCCCGGACCTTGGATTCCCTCAGCTAGCCCCAGGACCACACCGAGCCGCCGCCCTACCGGTCAGCGCACTGGGCCGGTCAGTGCTGGAGGGGATGAGCCAGCGCCGCACCCTCCACGCCGGCAGGGAGCCAACACCTCGAGGTGTTAGCAGAGATGCCAGACGTTCGGCCTGGCGTGGGTGGGCGGTCCAGACGGAAACTGCCCCATTTGTAGCACCCCCTAGCTCAGACCAGTGCTAGCAGCTCCTGGATCAAATCTCCGTTCCCATTTTTTCCCATCTCCCCCCTTGCTGAAAGTAGTGTGAGTGACTGTGTGTGTGTGTGTGTGTGTGTGTGTGTGTGTGTGTGTGTGTGTGTGTGTGTGTGTGCTCCATTGTAAATCTGTGTTGGGGTCAAGCTGTCTGGAAGCCATCCTTGGCATCTCCCTCTCCTTTGAGGCCCATATAAAAATACACCTCCATTTCATGTCAGTTCTGTTTCCTAAGTATCTTTCCAATCCACCATTCCTGTTTCTACCACTCTCTGGCTTTGGCTCCCTCTGTAGTAGCCTCCCTCAGGTTTTCCTGTGTCCTCTCTAGTTTAGCTACATTCTTCACACAGCAGTCAGCTTGGACAGTTCAGAGCACAAGTGTCGTCATGTTCTACCACCACCCCCCTTTTGCTATAATGAAATCTAGGCTCTGGTATTGTGGTAGTCCCCTCCTGTCCATTTCCCCCTCCTTCCCCCACTTTTGACAGGGTGTCTTTGTGTAGTCCTGCTGTCCTAGAACTTGCTCTGTAGATCAGGCTGGCCTCAAACTCAGAACTCCTGCCTCTGCCTCCAAGTATGACAGCACACTTAGCTTCTAAGTGGACTCTTGAAACTCAGGGGAGAGAGAGGGCATATGCACAAGGCTGGCTGTGAGAAGAAGCAGGCTGCATTTGGGTTTCCCTACAGATCATACTCCAGCAGTCTGAAGGCACTGACTCTTCTGTGGGACTAGCCTTGAGAACAACCCTGTAAGGTAGCTACGGCAAACACCTCTCTCCTTTGAAGTGGAACTAGTTTATGGAAAGCAAGAGTGAAGTGGTTACAATCACAGGTCTTGCAGTCAGTCCCCCTTCTTGAGTTGTAACCTATTGAAGCTTCTACCACCTAGGCAAACACTGCTCTGAGCCTTGATCCTGTTTATTAACTAGGAATAATTAATCCCCGCTCTTAAAATTCATACAAAGTGCTTACTGTAGGACTTCGGGTGCATTGGAAATGCTCCATAAACCTCACTCTCTTGGTTGGGATGGGTTCTGAGAAAGGGAAAGAACTGTATTCGACCATGAACTTGTGACATTATAGGAAGGGAGTCCTAACTGTCAGCACTTCTATGGGAGTTACTGTAAATGCTTTACATGTACCGACTCTTAGTCCTCTGAGGTAAGTGCTGAATGTCCATTTACACACAGTAACAGCTACTACAGGGAGGTGGAGGCCTGTTCAAGGTCCTACAGCCAGTCGGTGACAGGGTTGGAACTGAAACCTGGGCAGGCCACCTCCTAAGACAGTTGTCACCACAGCCTAACATGCTCCTTTATTCTGTTACAACTTTCATCTTTCAAGAAATACTTTAGTAAGTTTGAGTCTTATTTCTCATTTTCAGCTCCCAAGGTCACAAGTTACTGGCTCACACCATCTCCCACGCCTTCCCGATTTTCAAGCTCATCTCTGGAAGAAGGACACCATAGACATTTTTTGGGGGGAGGAGACTGATTAAGTGCAGTAGTGAGAAGGGGGAAAAGTATAAACCAGGAGTTCATTCTGTAGCTGACTGTGAGCAGTCAGTTCATCCACAGATTAAGTTCAATCAAAGATGATGAAAGATTAAGGATGTCTGACCCTTCTTGTTGCCAGATACTTGCCAAAAACTGGTTGGAAGAAAGCTACACTGGAAATGCGTCATCCAGAAGAATGACCCAGGCTGGCAAGGAATGGATGGACAGACTTGAAAAAGCAGTAAAGAGCAGATGGCTTGATACTCTGGCTTCTGGATGGGATGCAGGCAGCTGGGGAGAGTGTTACCACAGTAATAACAATTCCTAAAACTTAGATGGTCTTCATAGGGTCTGCCAACCTTCAGAGAATCCCGGTTGCAAAGCAACTAATTAATGTGAATTCCAAAGGACAGGAGCCTCTAAGAAGACACAGAATGTAGGCACTGGTTACTTCTGAGGTGGATATGAAATCTCCATGCATGAGGGTAAGAAGAATTAGAAGAACTAGCTAAACTATTTATTGAACTGTTAAAGGCCCACTGTGGCTTGGACAGGTGCAGAATGTGTGGGAATTCAGATGACAGAGACAACTCAGTCCCTTACACTAATGGCCCAGCACAAGACAGCAATTCCCAGGCACAAATAACATTGTACTTAGTGCCTATAATTCTATGTACTATGTCCACAGAGTGGTCAAAAATCACAATGCATATGGAAACATTTTTAAAAACCAAAAACGTGTGGTGGCGCACACCCTTAATTGCGTATTCGGGAGGCAGAGGCAGGCGGATCTCTGAATTTCAGGTCAACCTGAAATTTTGTAAAGCAAGTTCTAAGACAGCCAGCGCTACACAGAGAAATCCCATCTCGAAAAACAAAAACAACAAAACCTTTTGTCAAGTCAGAGTAATGAGGTCCAGGTCTGAGGTACAGACTCTGTAGCTGTCTGACAGAATATAAGAGAAAGATGCTTCGTGGAGAGTTCGCATGGAAAATGTAGACAATGTAAATGAGCAGGATTTTAGCAGAGAGCAAGAAATGATCACACATAGGCAACATTGGAAACAGACATGCTCAAGATTTGAAGAACACCTTTGACTCATCAATAAATTCAACACAGCTAAAGACGAGATTGGTGAACTTG